AAAAAAAAAAAAAAAAAAAAAAAAAAAAGAATCTGCATTTTGACAAGAGTCTTTGGTGATTCACATGCACGTTGAAGTTTGAGAAGCCTGGCTGTAACTGTGTCAAATGTCCTGACCTCAGCAATTAGCCTAGACAGCTGGGGCTCTGTGTGTCCCTGTACAGCTAGTGCTCGACTTACGACCACGATTGGCACTGGCAGAGTGGTCGTAACACAATTTGGTCGTAAGTTGAGTAGGCTATATGTACAGTTGAAATGGTGCACTCGGAGATGGTAGTGCTGCCAGAAGCTGGTCCACCCTGTCATACACCCAGCTGGGCAACATTTGCGCTGCCAGACGCGGAGCAGTCATGACTAGTGATTGTGGTCGTAAAGTCGAATGGTCGTAAGTTGCATAGGTCGTAAGTCGATCAATACCTGTATATGTCTGTCTCCATGCATGTGCCTGCTATCTCATACTGCCTGAACCAGCTGTGCCCTTAGATTAGGGAGATATGTATCTCCTGAAAACCAAACCTGTGCTTTGTCTTTATTGAGTATTCAGCCCAGTTTTAACAGCGGTAAATGCCTTCGTTTCCATGCTAGGGGGCAGGGCTGGACTTAAGCTTTTACCTAGGAAATGAGTCTTGCTTCCCTTTTCAGAAAGTGGCACATCCCTGGGTAGTCTCCCTGGGCATACAGAGTTCTCATTTTACTCCATCCCCAACCCACAGAGTACCAGCGCATCCCAGACAGTGCCATCCCCCAGGAAGACTACCGCTGCTGGCCCTCCTACCACCACGGGAGCTGCCTCCTTTCAGTGTTCAACCTGGCTGAAGCCGTGGACGTCTGTGAGAGCCATGCCCAGTGCCAAGCCTTTGTGGTCACAAACCAGACCACCTGGACAGGTGAGCCAGTGGGAGAAGGCCTTCCAAAGGAGATGGCAGGACCTCTCTGGAGACTGACAGATAGTGGTCCCCCATCGGAAGCCAGAGGGGATGTGGAGATGATAAGAGAGGTATATGTGTCTTCAAGGCAGTCAAATTAGGGGGAATGGCCCTGCCTCCAGGGAGAGAAACATCCAGCCCTGTTACCTCTCACCTCTGCCCCCAGGTCGGCAGCTGGTCTTTTTCAAGACTGGATGGAGCCAAGTGGTCCCTGATCCCAACAAGACCACCTATGTGAAGGCCTCTGGCTGACCTGTCTGAGGGCTCGGCTGACCAGCTGACTGTCCTCACTGGCTGGGCTTGCTTGTGTGGGGAGTGACTTGCACTAGCAGCTCTGCATGTCACCTGGGAACCCCTGCAGACAAAACTGAAATCCCAGACAGACCGATGTGACCAGGACAAACGTGCAATAATGCCAAATGTTAAAATGTGAGTTTACCAGCCTAGCTATGGGACTGCTGGCTCCCAGGCCAGGAATCGTGGGGGATGACTGCCTCTCCAACCCTCTGGGCAGCAAGCAAGGCTCAGGCTAGTCTCCCCAGTGGGGGCTGTGCCCTTCCCAGAGACAGTTCCATAGGCAGCCCCGTCACTGTGTTCAGTAGCGTGAGAATGTAGCTAAAGCCCTGCTGCTGCTGCTGCTGCTGCTGCTGCTGCACATGCCACGGCAGGCAGGGGGCTGCATGGGGACAATCCACCACGGGTGTTCTCTCAGCTTAGCTCTGGACAGGAGACTTGGCAGGGGATGCTCTGGGATGTTGGTGATTCTGTACCTGGGGAGGATGTCTCTGACCTCCCGACAGGGGGCACTCCCAGGCCAGCCCAGGGATCAGGGGCAAAGGTGCACACCTCAGCATGAGCCAAGACTGGGGTTGGAGAGCAGTTGTGGTTTGAGCCAGGACTTGGGGTGGGGTAGGGCCGGGGCCTTTCTGCCTCATTTGCTTTCAATGAAAGCCGCAAAGCAGCCAAAGCCAGGCTCTCCCCCTTCCTGGAGTTTGAATATCCAGAATCTTTTGTACTTCTTGTTTGTTAAATTGTTTATTTTTGTAAAAAAAAATAAAATCAGTTAATAAAATGATGCTTCACAGCAAAATCTTCCCCAGTGATAGTTTCTTAGGTTGTGACTTCTTGGTCCTACGTCCTTGGTATATTATGTTTGTGGGGATGCATCACAGGGGAAGATGAATGAAATCTCAGCAGCAAGCCCTGATGTCATCACGAAGTGTTTTCAGGTCCTGCTCCCATCCATGGTGCCCACCTCCAGCTGGGCCCTCCACATCTTGTCCCCAAAAAAGACATGGGGACTCCCCTTTCCCCCAAGGACGTTCTCATTTTTACACAGACCAGCTTCTTATGTATGAAGCCCTAACCCAGTGGGGTGATGTCCTCATGGTGGGATGTCAGCCACGAAGCGGTCACCAGGGGCTCCTGAACAACCTGTAGGTGGGTCAACTTTACTTCTGCACAGGGTTGGACCTGCCTGGGCCCACCACAAGGTCATGGGCACTAAGCTTTCCTGAGTCTTTCTCTGAACATGAAATACATGAACAGCCAGAAGAAAGGTGGGTCTGTGGAAAAACCAGCTTCCACTTTGTCAAGTTTAGGAGGGAAGGTCTAGCCGGGTTGTATCCAAGCCCAGAACAAAACCAGGGACCTGCGGCTCAGGATCACACGGAGGCCAGAGAGCCCCGCCATGAATGCAGGTCTTCTGACTTGAAACCCACATCTTCTGTCCTGTACACCATTCTACTTCTAGAATATTCTTGACGGGCACACACCTTTGGAGGCTCTAAAAAGAGTAACCAAACTTTAACTCAGAACCCGATGTCTCCCCAGCAGACGTGGTTGGTGTCATGTCTCACATACAAGATGTCCCCGTAGTTTAAGGAGCCGTATTAGCCCTGGAGCCCTCATCATAATCACCGCCGTGACCCTCAGGTTTGCAGCTCGCTGCTGCCATCCCCAGCACACACACCACGTCTTGCCTCTGGTGTTGGGCTTAGTGATTGTGGGTGTGGTGGGGAGGCAGAGCCTCCACAGGGCCTCACACCATGACAACGCAGCCAAATCCTGCCAAGCTCCCCACCCTCAGGCCATCCTGATCCCTCAAAAGAGGGCCTCAGCTTCCACCATGCCAGGGCCTCTTTCTCTAGCTGAACTCACTTGATGCAACATGCGTAGCCCACCCCACACGATCCAGTCCTGGGTTTTACACAATCCTCTATTACCCTCCAACTGTCATATGGCCTGTGAGGCTCTGAGAGCCAGAGGAACCACATCCACCAAGGAGGCACATGGCGGGCAGAAGTGATGAGAACCTGAGGGGAGGGGGCTGGGCCAGGAAGTGTGCGAGGGCTGCGCAGTGCAGAGGGACCCAGGGATCCAGTGACGACCAGCAGAGAGGCCTGCGACACCCAGGAACCACATGACTCTGGGGAAAAAGACCAAAGTGAACCAAGTAGTGTCCTCCTGGCTTTGAGAGATTTCCAGACCAGGGGTTCACCAGGCCCTGGAGAGGCACAGAGGGAAATAATACTTCCAGAGGACCAGGCTCTGCCCTCAGCAAGGTACAAAATGACTCCAGTTTCCCAGTCCTGAAAACCGAATCCCAGACCATAGCTGCTAAGTGTTTGAACGAGCATTCTCATCCAGGCTCCCCCCAAGCCCGCGCTCTGTCTGGTAGTACTAAGTGCTGCGTCCCAGAAGGGAGCCATTGCAGCAAGAAGCATCTAAGTAAGAGTTTGCGAAGCGCCTCCTCCTGTGAGTATGTAACATACTGACATGGAGGTCCTGCCAGGCAGAACATCTTAGACTCACACACAGTGGCTGAAGGGGATGGTGGACAGCTTCTTCCTCAGTGAGTGAGCCTTGTCCCACAACCTATTTCTGGGGGCAAAAATGGCCAGACTTAGTCCTGGGGAGCCAAGAGAAGGGCATTTGCAACTGGGAATGGAGAGGGGATGGAGTGCGCGAAAGAAAGGGGAAGCAAAGGAAAGCCTGAAGCAAAATCATTCCTCTGCTGGAGACCTTTCACAGGGAGCCCCAGTTGCAGCCAGAAACACACGCCACCTCCCCTTCCACCCACCAAGCCCACGTTCTTTCTACTCCACTGCAATGCCAGTGATTCCCAGGTGTAATGGACAGAAAAAATACATTCACCCAACTGAAGCCTCAGGTGACATGCACCAGAAGAAGGAAGACAAGGGTAGGGGTTGGGAAGGGATCCCCCAGTTGCGTTCCTGAATTGCAGAAGCAATGCAGGACAGCAGCGTGGCCTAGTGGTTCCCCAGGAGGCTCTGGAGCCGGCCAGAGCTGGGCAGGAGCCCAGACAGTTCTGCTTTTTGCTCTGTGTGATCTGATTCATGACAACCTCCCTGAATCTCCATTTCCTCAAATGCAAATTTCAGATGAATAATCTGCTTCACAGCAGCCTTATGGAAGCTGAATAAAATCCTGCCTTAGCCAGGATCAGCAAACGGTATATGCTTAGGAAACACTGGCTGATTCTGTCATTGTTATTATTATTAGCAAGCTGAGCCCTCAGTGTTATCCATGGCCTGGCCTAGAAGAACATCCAGGTCAACTGCGGAGGACCAAGGCACGAGCTGGACTGCCCACCCCTTGACTCTGCACGTCCCGCCCCACCCAGCCCTCCTGCCATAGGGAACAGGGCTTTCAACTGGGGGAGGTGGGACCCGGCTCTCTGGGTCAGTGCCCTGGGAGTTCAGTGTGTGGTAGACAGAAGGAGGAAGAGGATTAACATGAAAGCAGAAAATGGGATTAGGAGGCCTCAGGATAATGTGCCCACCCACCCACCCCCCCCATCCATGACAACAGCTTCTTGCTTTCACTCCACGGCTTCTGGAGCCCAGAGCATGTAAGACTTGGTTGCCCTGCTCCTGAGGGCAGAGCCAGGAAAGGAGACTTGGACTTTGAGCGTGAGACTACTCAGTTTGCTAGGAAGAGGGGTGGGGCTGCAGCTGGCTGCAGGCCAAGCCTGCGTGACTTTCTGTGCACTTTCTCATTTAATCCTTACGGCAACTCTGAGAGGTGGGTGATAGCCCAGAAGAGTGAAGAGCAGGGATCCAAGCCCAGCCTATTGCCCCCAAAAGCCTGTGTTCCTTTCCCTCCACCCAGAAGCACACCCAAGTATTGCCCTGAACCCACAGGAGCAATGATCCACTCACACACACCACCTCCCCTGGCAAGGAGTCCTGGGCCTTTGATGGGAAGCCCAGCAGGATCATTCACAAGATTGAGGATGTCCCGGGGACTCTGACCTTAACGGATCCCTTTGAGGTCTGTGTGAAGAACTTTTATGGTTCCCTGTTCACCCCTCCATGAACCAGCCAAAGCTACCCACTCAGGTGGACAAAGTGCTACATCAATCCCACCTACAGGAAGGAGAGAGACCAAGATATTTCTAATTTTTTAAAATTTTTTGAGACAGAGTCTTTCTCTGTCTTTCAGGCTGGAGTGCAGTGGCACAATCTCAGCTCACTACAACCTCCACCTTCCAGGTTCAAGGAATTCTCCTGCTTCAGCCTCCTGAGTAGCTGGGATTACAGGCACGCGCCACCATGCCTGGCTAATTTTTGTATTTTTAGTTTAAATGGGGTTTCACCATGTTCGTCAGGCTGGTCTCGAACTCCTGACCTCATGATCCGCCTGCCTCGGCCTCCCACAGTGCTGGGATTACAGGCGTGAGCCACTGTGCCCGGCTGATAAACCAAGGTATTTCTAATAACTGCCTCTTAAGCTCTAGAGGCTCCTACAACTGAGTTTGGAGGAAGTTCCTACTCCCACCCTCGTTCCAGTCAAGGGCCCTGTCAGCCTCCTTTCTTCAGCATTTTAAAACCACTTTGTCCTGGCCCATCCTACCCAGCCCGAGGCTCTCTGACTTCATTCCAGCTCCAGAAAGCCTCTCTAGGAAGCAGCAAAAAGAACTTCTCCCTCTATCATTCAGGGCCCCAACAGGAAACAGCACAGTGAGCATAAGACACATTTACAAATGTGTAGGTCCAGGGGAACCCCGAAGGATAGCTATGACCTGAGACCTGAACCAGCGGCAGCCAAGCCATCACCATCTCTCTCCCCCACCAAGGGAAGGGAGTGGGAACTATTACCAGAACTCAGAACCTGGGAAAACCACCCAGAGGAGTCATGTAGAGGTGGCCCTTGAAGAAGTGATCAAAGGACCCGACTAGGCAGAGTGACCTCACAAGGAGGGACATACACTCTCACCGCACATTCCCTCCTCACTCCCCCAGTCTCCTGCTGAGCTCGCCATCGGCCAAACCCAACTTGAAGGCAGAGGGCTAAGGAACTCTGTGTGATCACCTAAGAGCCGGTCAGGAGAACACTGCACACCTCACATCTTCTGTTTGGCTTGAGGGGAAGGCAAGAGAAGATTGTTTTGTGCCCAGTTCCATCCATAGATATTCAGCAATTTGTTGTTGATTGGATGAGGCCAGACTTTGGGCACAGTCCTGCAGGGGGTCCCTTGCAGCTCACATTCTCAACACAGCCACCATTATTCCCAAGGAGACAACACTTGATTCTTGGGAGATGAAAAATCTTAGATATTACAACGGTTTATGGCCCTGCAAAGAACCACAGGACATAAACAAAAATGCAATATTCCATGCTAGTAAAATTTCATGGAAGGTGGTGGCAACTGGGGGAAAAGTAGGCTAACAAAAGTACTTGGTAGGGGTAGGGGATGATAATGGAAAATAGGCTGAGAAGCACTGAATTATAGTGACCCAAAACCTTTCCTTGGGCTGACACTGAGAGCTTCAAATCTCTTGTCCTCAAAAGCACAGCTTATACTATTATTTTCTAAACAGATATATATAATGTATTCACTATTATTTTCTAAACTGATACATATGATATATTTAGATGTATTCAGTTTACACATCTCATAAAAACAAAGTGCAGGCCGGGTGCAGTGGCTCATGCCTATAATCCCAGTACTTTGGGAGGCCAAGGTGGGCAGATCACTTGAGGTCAGGAGTTCGAGACCAGCCTGGTCAACATGATGAAACTCGATCTCTACTAAAAACACAAAATTAGCTAGGTGTGGTGGCAGGTGCCT